TGTAATTCGATAATGGCATCTAGTGGCTGTTCTCTCAGCATAAGTTGAGACGACTTGGCATGCCCTCGTGATGGCGATGTGCGTTCGACTGGTCACAATAGCATCGATGAAATATATATCCTCTAGTTATATCGAAAAAATTTTGTATTAGATTGCCGAGCTGAAGTTCAACGGCGCCGAATTGGACGTACATGATTTCTATGGCGGCGATAAGAGGACTCGCAAGGCGCGGTGTGAAACTGAAGAGAGAGCGGCTTTGAGGAAGAAGAGGAGGATGGAGAACATAACTTTGAAGGAAATGCGGGAGAAGGCGAAATACGAAAAGGATAGTAAGTTGGAAATTTTGGTATCGGAAAATTTTTTTCCATTTTTCACTCGCGAGTTTCTTGTTTGGCACTACGAGTCGCTCATTGTAATTCAACTGGACGTCGTACGAGCAATTCACCTTCACTTTCGAGAAATTTCTAGGGAATCTGGGGCGCGAATTTCCACACTGCAAAGTTTTATCGCTCCGCTCGTGGGACAGTTTGCGGGGGTTCGAGCTCGGCGATCGGCATAGAGTTGATGTTGCGATTTCTCTTCACATTTTTCTCTGTAGAAACTCTCCTAGAGAAGAGCGCGCCATTGTTCACATATTCATATGCTGAGCAGTTGCGGTTGAAGGAGCAGTTCATCATGCATGCTGCCAGGAACTTCACGAGGGAGGTAGTCGGTAGTAGCACCACATGTCCCGTTATAACTTCTGAATTTCGGTTCGCCAGTGATAGTATGTTTGGAAATTCTCGACACGAGCGGCCCTCGGTAGTGATACTAGTCGAATAGTATTCGTGCTAATGAGTAACGAATAGGCATATACTCGGAGAAATGGCAAATCTTCGTTCTGCTGGTCTTTCGCCGGGTCACGAGTTCGATGGTGTCATATCGTGGCTATTTCGTTATCGGCTTGGAAGTGGCATCAAATATTTAAAGTTAGAATGGGAGCACTAAATGGTGCAGTGGGTGAATACTATTGTGACTCAGGTTAAAGCACACTGCGAGAAGAGGCAATACCCGTTTCCTAACTGGGCTAGGGTAGTAGTAGTAGTAGTAGTAGTAGTAGTAGTAGTAGTAGTAGTAGTAGTAGTAGTGGTAGTAGTAGTAGTAGTAGTAGTAGTAGTAGTAGTGGTAGTAGTAGTAGTAGTAGTAGTGGTGGTGGTAGTAGCAGTAGTAGCTTATCGAAATGATTTCTATGACTTTCGATGGGTTTTCAAGACTGATGTTATCGTTGATAGGTTCATAAGAACAAGCCTGGTTGCACAGTCCATGAGATAGTAGGGAGTCCGGAGACGAATCTGGAGGGATACCGCAACAAGTGTGAATTCACGATTGGATATTCAGACTTCGAATGTAAGTGTGATTTACACTCTTGAACATTCGTGACGCATAGCGGTCTACTTTTCGTCACGCTAACGGCAGGCATCTCAACTTTGAAAAGCGCGATTCTCATCTAAGTGGTGGTTCGTTCTTGCACTGAAAGAACGAATAAGTAGCGATTGAGTTTCGAGAGTTCTTCGAAAGTTCGAAAATTTGAGTTCGAAAATTTGAGTTTCTGAAAGTTGCGATTCGTTCTTCGTTATTCCACGTTCTTCCAATTTATCTTCTGACCTTCTGACTTGGTTCGCATGTGGTGAACCGTAGGAGCGTTCAAATTCAAACCGATCACAGATAGGACGTCTTGAGCATCTCGGGCGCGTATTGGAGACCCATCTCGCTTTTGGAAGGCGTGAAAAATCCGCGACTATTTCAAGGGACGATCCGTCCGGCTTGTGAAAGCATATGGTGGAGCGTAGCAGCACTGAAATTCAAATCGGCCTCATATAGGATGTCTACGATGGTGTGGAATTTTTTCTGTCATTCTCGTGTTGCTAACGCTCGCCTTGTGCGATGCGAAGAAGTCGAAGTAATTGAGTTGGAAAGGATTCATCAGACCTCTGCGTTTGGAATATGCATTTGAGATGAGGTGATTTTATAAACTAGAATAGCCAGAACCCTCCTAGATAGTGTAGAGCTGAGTTGAATGTTGAAGCACTTGGACTTGAGTCGCGATTATCGGTGAACTTTCGATCTCTCTTTTCCTTGGTAGTCTGCAGAATTGTTTCGGGTAACTGTCTCGTGCTGCAGGTAGCAAGCCTGAGGTTGGTTTCGTACGGCGAGTCGAAGGACATGAACTACTCATTGAGTCTGGGAAGGCGCTACCGCATGTAGTAGCACTATGCATTGAGCGTAGCGGTCTTCAGTTTCTACTGCTGGTGGTCGCGCACGAGCATTCAATGGAAATTTTTGGCTTTAAATTTGAGTCTGTGAGATTGAAGGATTGCGATGTCAGATTCCTGCGTGTATGAAGGCGATCGAAGGAGAGCTGAGAAAACTGGTACTGGAAAATTACGATCAGGTGAAGCCGTTCTCTAGGCATCAGAGTAGTATAAGGGGAACTCCTCTTACGTTTCTGGTAGAGAATACGAATCATATTTTCTGATGGTCTATTGATCGCGCGAGTCGTCCTTGGTTTTCAGAGAAAGGCACTTGGCGGCAAGTAATGCTACGATGGTCACCATCTCGCGATCAAATGCTGATGGTCGTTATGTGCTGTGAGCCTTACGAGTTGGCAACCAACATCATCAAGACGTGGGCTGAGAGTGCTGCTAACAAGAGTCTACCGGTAGTATTGAGGGGCGTCTTTTTTTCTCAGGCTAATTCGGACAATCAGCGTTTCTTGTTGAGGA